AGCCGGTTGTTAATGACCATCGTACAGGAACTTAATTACACTAAACACCTGTTGGCTGCCATTCCAAATACCTGTAATGTTTACTCAGTATGTATGATGTATGATAACATAATTTACTTGGCTGCTCTGTTTAAAATGCACAAAATGAGGCAAGACATAGTAACCTTCCAAAAGTAAATCATGTCCTTTCACCTTCAAAATTGAGCATGATTGGAAACATCCTTCCTTACTTCCATTGAAAGCTGTACATGTGGTGATTCAACAATATTTTGTATACCATATTTATCCAGAAAAAGCCCATGCTTAGAAATAATTGCAAACAATGCTATTTCATTCAATTAATCCCTTATCAGTCAGATGTGAAATGACACAGGGTCACTTGCCCTGAGTTTTTCATGGGTAATCCCCCCCAACCCCCACCCCAACCCCCCCACCCCCCACCCCCACCCCCCAAAATATTTATTTGATTGCCTTTTCATAAGTCCATCTCTGACTTTTCTGTGAAGTTATGTGTTGGCCCCCTGGGGTCTTTTAATAAGTCCATCTCTGACTTTCCTGTAAGAAGTAATGTGTTGGTCCCCTGGGGTCTTTTAATTAGTCCATCTCTGACTTTTCTGTAAGAAGTAATGTGTTGGCCCCCTGGGGTCTTTTAATAAGTCCATCTATGACTTTTCTGTAAGAAGTAATGTGTTGGCCCCCTGGAGATCCTGTAATAAGCCCATACTCGACATCATTGTGTGAAGTAATATGTGTTTATCTTCTGGGCATTAGTGACTTTTTGGACTCAAATATTTGAGTCCTTGACTCATGGATTTTTAAAGGGACTTGCTCAAATTTTGATAATCCACAATACCTCTCCTTTACTGGACTCATCAAAATTTTTGAAATGGTGGTCACCACAAAAAAATCATATAAAAATACCAGGGCTTATTGGAGAATAAGATGGTAATGCTCTCCCAAACAGCCTTAATCACTGAAGCATGATATACATATACCATAACTCCCTATAACTTACAAATGACCAAGTTCTGGCCATCATGCATGTATACAAAAATTTGCAAGTTTGTTTTGAATGGTTTTTGGGCTCAATAACACATTAAATTCTATAAGAAGCTGCAACAACTAGTGAGAAAGGATAATACAGAAAACCCTAATGTGCATCTGGCCTGCATTAGGTATTCATCATCCTTAACTCTAGGATCTTTTGAAGTTGGATTTAAATCCCTGTACGATAGAGACAGAAACATGCTACATGTAACAATATTTCAGACAGAGGGGGCTTATGTAGTATATTACTAGTTATAATATACTACACATACACCCACTTCCCTCAGAAACATTTGTATTACATTACATGTGGGCAGGGGTTTACCTGAAAGCTTATTCTAACAGCCAGTTTTATCACTGATGTAGAAAAGGAGAAAAAAAAATCTGAACACGTGGATGATTAGAGAAGTGTATTTCTGATAGAGAAGGAAATAGCAATGTAGAGCTTTGAGAAATAGAATCTATAACTCCAGTATGATGGGGTAAAAAGCTCTCCTAGTAACTTATTTCAGATTTTATACCGTAGGATAGAGTTGGTCAAATCTTGGAAAAATTCTATTGCCTTTTTTATGGTTGTCTGCAGCAGAGGTTTAAAAACATTTTTAAAAAATGTGATTTATAAGCAGTATGATTGGATTATATGTACCTTGTATTCATCAGTAATATTTGTAGGATTTTTTCTGGTGATAAAGCACCATATCCAAAATTTTGATGAATCTGGCAACAAAGAGATATAGCGGATTCTCAAACTTGGTGGGAGTCCTACAGGAAAAGCACGAGTCCATTGCTCAAATATTTGAGTCCCAAAAATCACTGTATACATGTATATCTGCTATCAGAAACATCCTGACATAGTTATATTTCAGGTAATTGGTTGATTCTTGCTGCTGACTGCAATGTAAAATGGAAAATTACTTAAAAAGTCAAAAAACAAATTTTGAATTTAATGTAAATTGACTAATCTAATGAAAATTTAACTGCATCATAGTTATGGTCTGAATGAGGTTAAATTACAGACAAATAATCAAATTATATTGTTATTGAAAATATGATCATAATGTGCTTTATTTAATTATTTCATTGTCTACCTACTTGTACAGAATTTTACTGTGCCATTAGGAAAGTACTAGAGACCAATAAAATTGTAATCAATCATCTCGATGGATAGCACCATGTGAAGATATGTATACAGACGTTAAAAGAAAACCATTTACTGCCAAATTGATGTTGCATTTAAGATCCTGTGATGTCTATGGATTGTCTGGCAAGGTCTTTACACTTCTTTGTATTGAAAAGGTTATAGGGTAAACATCCTCATTTTTCTTTTCTTTTTTTCCTGCAATTTTCACTAATGATCATTTCCTATACTCATTTGTGATGTAGCCTATAGTTTTTGTGACAAGTGGTTATATTACATCAACATACTTGTATATACACATTCCACCGAAGAATAGCTATACTTCGACATTGATTTTTTTTTTTTACATTCAGACTAGGAGATATGAAATTTTGGCCTGGGGTTATTAAGGAGCTATTTAAGATACACATGCGCTCTTGTCTTTTTTGTTTTACAGCCGTTCATGATAACCAAAACCCATACACCAGGAAATGACAAATTTCTAAACATTTCTTGTCTCGTCAGATAGCCACGAAGTTGACCCTAAGTCTGACGTGGTTTCTTGTTCAACAAACATACATGTGTATATATACCTGTCATACACATAATGTACATAAGAACCAATTTGATGTTATTTCATGACTTTTGATTGATTTTATTAAATTATTTGTTATTTCACTTTTCAAAAACTAAGGATCACTATATAACGACACATATATATAGAAGACATCTTAAAAATGTGTTAGGTATATAAGAACATCATTTGGTTGGCTGTACTGTTGAACTGAGAGAGAAACATTTTTTGTGTGTGTGTTGATGGTTATACAATGACTGGGTGAAATGCATGGTAGCCAAGAATCATACTGGGTTAACATTTTGATCCTCTGCTAATGGACATGGAAATTCTTCTGCAGATTAATATCAGTTTTTTTAGTGGTGAGTACTTTTTTCTCGTGAAATATAAAGGAGCTCTCCTAACTTGTAAATTATTTTTAAATGTCAATTAAAAGGCGATGGACAGTGAAAGAAGAAAGAGCATTAATTTGTGAATTCTGTTGTGACTGTTGGCTGTGATATCGATGGTCCATGTTAACATTTTCTGAGCACTATTGTCGTGATGACACCAGCTTGTATAGTACATGTATATGTAAACATGTACATGTGCGCTCTCTGGATCTTGTAAAAGCTACACATGCGTGTCTTCTCGTGCATATGCATTACCGGAAGTTTATTAGCGGAGCATTCCTCAGCTCAAAGAAATTAAGCACAAGACAAGAAGATTCTGTTAAACTTAATTTTGTTAACGAGGAAAATCCTGACCTGCTTGATGTTTCCATGGATGCCATTTAATTGAAACAGTTTAGGATTGGTGCACACACACTCACTTAAAAGATCGAGAGAATTCAAACCTGAATGTGTTGCGTAATTTGATGGGGAGGCAGCAGGTGCCCTGTTCACCTGTTCTGAGGATATTCTCTGTTGTGAATGTTTCATAGAGTTAACAGGACTGATGCATGCTGGACTTGTATGAGAGTTGTGATGGTAGTGGACATGCAGATAAAGATGATAAAAAAGTCATGCATAGAACTATACATATGTGCTGGTTTATTTAAGCAACAGGTGTCACTTATCTGTAGGCTGGATATGGATTTGGTGTATACTGCAATATGTACACGTGTACTGTATATATAATAGATTGTGATCGTCAGCTGCTTTTAACATGCTAGCTTTTTCTTCACAGAGATACATGTCAGCCGACAGTTTTCATATTGAAAATATTATGAAGTATTAAGGAGTTATTGCAAGGCACAGAAATTCAGTCATGGATTCAAGTGTAGTGTAAAACTATTGACATTTCTTTAAAAAAAACTCTCAGAAATAGTCAAAAGATTTTCAATTGAAATAGTGATGAATTATTTATAGAGCAATTAGCAAGTTCCTCATTTCTAAGGGTGTTTTACAAAGTCACAAGTTTGATACTGTTATGAAGATGAGGATTAATTCTACCCATGTGTCACTTGGCAACCTGAAATAAACTACATAGATGAAAATGTCCTGTGTGTGGTCAGGATCACAAACTGTTCGATGAGTGGGATTTTATATAAATGTACTGGAATCTAATCTTAAACATGACAGAGAAATGTGATGGACTTCATGTATCTCCAGACTGATTTTCTTTAGAGTGTTTGAGTGTGTTTATAAAGACCATAGCTTTCTGACAGCAAATGGAAAAATGTTTTTAATCTAAGGTCTTTATTTATATCATTGTGATTAGGATATAATGGATGTTTGGTATTGTCAGCTGTTATAATTGATATCATACACGGGAATTACATTGTTATATTATAGCATTATGCAATATTAATCAAAGTACAATGGTAATTTCTCTGGCATTAATTGATTTGATGATCCAATTATCAAGAACATGAGTTTTAATGGATTTAATTCCCAGTGATCCGTTACCATGCATGTTTTGTTGTAGCAGCAGTTGGTTTCACATCAACAGTTTCGTGAAAAAAATTATCTGATTCACGTATCGGTGAAGTTATTGAGTGGCAGTGTGACAAGTGTGTAGCAATAATAATCGCCTGATCCTTTCAACTTTATATTGCTGTGACAAAATCATGTGGCAGTTGTAACTGTGTGACAAATTTGAATTGTGTGGTACCTTATAGCACATACACGTGTAGTGTATGACACTTTGTTGATCATCCTGAAATCTGTAGTGACCATTGACCAGTGAGATGTTTCTACAGCAGCCGGAAAATAATCTACTGACCACCATGGTACCAGGATCTGACCCTTACTTCATGTCTCCATTCTCTTCCCTTTACAGGCGACACACCCCTTACATGGGACAGCCAGACTACCGTATCCATGAGCTTAACAAACGCCTGCAACAACGGACAGAGGTAAGGTTACTGCTAAAAATAGCACCTTTTCAATCTGAACTCTGACTGGTCATGACGTTTGTAGCAAAAAAACAAACAATAAAAATTGTATGAAATGCTTTGTGTTATTGCTGTAAGCTGTATATATGTAATGTGTCAGGAATGGTTTAAGATTTGAATACTCATTACTGATCAGCAATAATCAATTAGTGACAGTCAATCAGTTTCCGATAAATAATTGGTTGGATCACTGTTCTTCTCTTATTTTTATTCTTTAGAATACCATTACGCAACACTGTTCTTCAGATGTCTGCGTTGATTATTTTCTACAATTGATGTAAGGCATTTGTAAGGTTTTATAGTTCAATATAGTACGGAAGTAGCTCTATAATAATCACTTACATTATATCAACCACTACATGCTTTGTTTGCAACATATTTTCAGGTCGGTAACATGATGAGCCATGATATATGCACTCATACACATTTATGGTAGCATCTCGCAGAAACTGTCAGAAATTGGTTGCCTTTTCAATTAGATATCAATTACAACTGATCATCCAGACAAAACTAAAGCTGCCTGATGCAATCTGCTTTTTTATTAGTATTTATAAGTAATTATTATAAATCAAGAAACTATTTGCATAGGGAAAAAAATTCTACAACCAAAGGGCCCAAAGGGCCAAATGAGCTTATGAGATACTGCAGCATCTGTCCATCTGTCTGTCAACCTTTCTCCTAAAAATCGTTTGGGGGAGGGAACAAACTTCTTATAAATGATGGGTCCTGAAATCAAGGGTCCAAAAGGGGAAATTTTAAAATCCTACTCCTCTTGTAGGAATGATGGGATATTACCAAAAATTGGTTTGAAGCATTCTTAGATGAAGGGCAATCAATTTATTATAAATATTAAGGTCTTTGGGGCAGAAGGGATGGGTCCCAATAGGGAGAAAATTCTTTGAAATCCAGTTCCTCCTATTGGAATGATCACATTTTTTCCCAAATTTTGTATGAAGCGTTGTTTGGTGAAGAAGAATCAAAATTATAGAAAAAATAGGTCTCTGCCATCTGGGGCAGGGCCCAATAGGGGAAATAGAGCAAATTCTTAAGTTCTTCCTGTAGAAATTATTGGATTTTGACTGAATCTCTTCTGAAGAGAATTTGATTTTGCCAGGTGAACGATACAGGCCCTAGGGGCCTCTTGTTTTTATTTTTGTTATATTTATTGTTTGGAAAATGGGAAATTCCCACAAAGGTGTTGCAGAATGAAAGTAAGAACTCTGATTGCAGAATACTTAGGCTTCATATACATTGTACTATTATAGTATTAGAAGTTATTATTTGTAAAATGAGTTAGTGCCATTAAAAAATCCACATGTTTAGAATGTAAATTATTTGGATTTATATATCAGTGGAAAAATATATGATGTCCATTTGCACCACATGTAAACAAAACTTGTACTGCCATATAAAATATAAGACTTATAATTTCTGATCGTGGTTGTCATTTAGTCAGCCCAGTTGAAGTCAGTATAGCCTAAAGGGCACCTTGTAGATAAAAAGTAGACATGTTTTAATATATCTGTGTTTAGACTTACTTAATTAACAAAATTAAAAAGTAAGAATTTTTCTGTTTATTAGTAATCAAATTAAGAGAAAAGTAACTATAAGTAGAATACTTGCAATCAAATACATTTGTAGGTATAAACTGATATACTGTATCATGACTTTGTGCTGTCATTTACAACTTTAAATTTATTTAAATCCTGTGATTTTTAGTTTTACAGAAAATAAACATAACTTCAGAGGTTTCTTTTGTTCAGTAATAAAAAAAAATTGGGAGTTAAAATATTGGTTAAAAACTTTATTGATCCTGATGAGGTTTTGTCTTTTTCATGTTCTCCAGCGCAATCTGACCATTTGTCTAAAAACATACCAGAGATGATCTGATTAACCAGTTTAAGTCTGATGTTTTGAAAAGCGTCTTTGCCCATTGTTTTTTTTTTATGTTTTTCTTTGTCTCCAAATCTTTCATCTTGTCTGTATATTTCTTCCCTCAGTTTCAACCAATTTTTTTGAAACAAGGAATGCTTGATAACCACAAAATGAGCATTTCGATTCAGCACTATTTCAAAATCTTATTGTCCGTTGGTCTTTTGCAGCCTTTTAATCTTGTCTGAATGCTTCTTCCAGTTTTTCACTCATCTTTTTAATACTAGATACGCTTTATATGTATCATAAACACATATAGCACTCTTTCTTCCTCCTGACATTTTGTCCGATTATTACCGTTTCCACTCTTGCATTCTTTACGAAATAATTTCTTTGGCAAGGGATGGGCCTGTATTGTTCTGCCTCAGAGTACTCTTCATGTCCGTTTAGTCTGTTGTTAGGCTTTCATATATAGCTATTTATTTTCATTTATTTCCTTCAATGAGAGAAACATTTATGAATTATCTATTTGAGAATAGAGGAAGAAAAAAATACAGCATTGTCATATTCAGTATTCCATGATCTTGTGCTTTGGAAAGATCCTATGTAGATATCTAAGTAAGCCCAGATGATGTCCAGGAATTACCCAATCCATTCATTTGTAGCAATACAATTACATAAAAAGTCTTACACTAATGTTTAGGTTATTGACTATTGATAAAGTCATATACTTTTTTACCTTCTATTTCATTTATATTCTATGGTACAATATGAAAATACTTTAAATGAGGTTAATGTTGTGTATTATGAAATATTCTGTGTATCTTTTAACAATGCTTATATTGACAAATTGTGAAGAGCCATATATTGTAAAGAACCATTAAACTAGCTTAAAGATTTGAGTTTAAGTTATCATATACAAACTGATTTTCATGAATTAACAGTTTATATGTGTGAATTTGACTGAGGTTGAAGAACAGCAGCTGAATTATTCTGTTATTTATGTGCTTGAAATTATTCTCAAGAAAATCTTTAAACATTTTTCCAACAGCCTGTAAACATTTCCCTCCATGTTGTAATATCAGAGGCCAGATCTAATTGTCTATAATGAGGCTGGTCATGTACAGCAAACAGGACATGTAATGTGATCAGTTATGAAACTGCTAACAGGTGTTAACTATAGATATAGCATTTTGTTAAAGTTGAAATATAGGCTTGGACTATACCGTGGTAGATATCCAATAATTTTGATAAACATTTTTCTTTGGTAGTATGAATCCCATTGTAATTAAGCTTAGGATAGGGTCTTGCAAGTTAAGATACAGATTTACTTGTTTTAAAATGAACCACTAGAGTATTAATCCAGAATTGATGAAACAAAGCTTCATTGCCTTGTGATTATTACCTCTCTGTGATATGCAGAGTACTTACCTTTTAAATACATTGTTAGTGAAACTTGTAATATCAGGCCTCCATATATACATTATTATTGATCTTGTGCTTTTCTTTCCAATTTTTGTCCAAATACTCCCAGGAAAGTTATTACCTTAGAAATATGGCTAGGTGATAAACAGAATCTGCAACTTGTTCCTATATATTTCATCTGGTCTTCATTATATCACATTCATTATTTTTTCATAAAGATGCAAGATCATTATTGGTTTTATATGAATCTTTTACAATCTTGCAAAGTAGATTTACAGTATACATACTATTTTTAGTTTGCTGGCTGTATAAAGTTGGACGGTGCAGGTCATGGAGAAAGAATGTACTTGTTGTATCTCACTGCATCTCATAAGACATGACTTAACGTAAGACATCCCATGTAGATCAGGGCTGGTTTCTCTGATGCCTTCTCTATATAACACATCAGAGAGCCCAATAATAGGGTCTGTTGAGTACAGCTTATTTATAAGGGACTTAAAGTGGACCCCTTGCAGACTTAGGGGCATTCGTGATATTCCAGGGATTATGAGCACTTTCGCTCTCTACACCCCTGGGACATTTCATGGCGAAATTGATGGTAGAAGCACAGTAATTTGATTGGTCTAGAGCAGGTTTCAGAAGGGGAAAAAGGACCAATAACAGACTGATATGCTCCTTTTGAAGATGACAAAGGAATGACACCAAACTTCAAAGCCAGTACAATATACATTATATGACCTCGAGATTTGTTTTATGTATATCAAAGGATCAAACTAGTCTTATTCGTCTTGTCCACAAAGTTTCGCAGATGGAACCTTCAGTTTTGCCATGATATGTTCCAGGGATGCAAGCAGCGAAAGTCATTGTTAACCCCTGGAGTATTGAGGATGACTTTGAGAAGTTTCTTATAAACAGATCTGCTGCCCCTATTGTGGCTTAAGATCTTCTTGAGATCTTGTTATTTTCCTTTCTTCCCTGTCTTTTCTTTCTTTTCTTCTGGTGTTTAATTTCCTACTTTTGGTTTCTCCCAGGACACCTGTAAACATATGATCAGGTTGTTGCAAGATTATTTTACAGGGTTTTAGGTCAATTTGGAAGATCAGGTTAGATGTACATTTTGTGATGGGAACTGAATAAGCTACCCTGATTAATATATTATACTTGTCACGCAATTTATATACTGTAATGGATGTTAATTTGAGTGGGTCAAATTTCCGTGGTTTCACCAGTATTTTGAAGCAAAAGGGGTGTAATATTTTTAAAGAAATAAATGTTATGGATTATTCTTTTCTCAATCCTTTTTATTTTTAATTCATACTTGTTATTGATGTATCTGGATTTGCTGGCAATTTCATTCTATCCCTAAAAATAGCAAAAAAAAAAACACCTGAAAATGAACTGTCACAACAATCATAAAAAACCTGCATGTTCTAATTTAAGATTAAATTGTGTTGATTGCAGCTAATAAATGGAGGCGAGATGTCAAATTAAGCTTGTGAGATAAGAAAAAGTCAAAAATAACATTAACTCTTTGTAGGATCATTGATAAATCAAGGCAATGGACATTTCATCATATAGTCTAATTTTATGTTTTATTTTACCCATAGCATAGACCTTATTTTTGCAGGCAGACAATAACATTCTACAAAAAAATATTTCTAGAAATCATAAAAATGAAAACACAGTTCTTATTAAGTGAAAAAAAAAACAAAGACTACAGACAGGATGCAATTTACGACAATTCTTTAGGTTCTATGGTTACTTAGTAAAATGAAAGGGCATGACAATGTCTTGATTTCAGACACTTGAGCTACCTTAATCAGTGCTGTAATGTTACACTGTACATGTGGAGATGCTGTTAAGAGTGCAGGACTAAATACGGATAACTAGAGAGACAGCTGTGTGAACCTAAATGGAGATGCTCTAAACACCATACTCAGCTAATCAGATATACACTTTAATGCTAAGAGTACACCACTTACAAAGTAGGAACTAGAGAATCGTTAACAGGTGATGTCACCTACGGACTACAATAGCTTAATTGATGACAGATGTATGCCTTTGTGGAATACATGTTCTTAATGGCTTTCCATTAAAATCCCCCCTCCCTTTTTACCTTACTAGACACCACACATTTTTTTGTAAAATATATATATATTGTATTACTATGACTCTGGTCTGTTTGAAAGAAATTAGTAGGCCTATCTTCTACCATTCGAGTTGCCTACCATTGTTCATCCATTGAAAGTTTAATACACACTTGATTGTGTGACAAGATCTTTCTTGGACAACTTGGCTGAAATAATTCAATCATTTTCTTTCTTTTATGGGAAATAGTTTGTATTGTTAAGATGACCATATTATCATTGAAAGGACAACAGATTTCCAACCATGCTTTAAAACTGGATGTGCCTTTTAGTTTTATTTCCAGTTACACCTCCATGCACTTATATTTATTAAGATGAATAGATAAAATGAAGAGAAAAAAACAAGTGTACATGTATCGGGTGAAGGTGTTTCTTCAGTTTTTTCTCTTTCTCTGTCTTTCCATACTGATATACCACTTCTTTCCTTCCAATCTTTTATAAAAAAAAGTGCCCTCAGCAATTGGGTTTTGTACTTTTCAATATTTTATTTTGATATGAAAACTGCCTTGATTAAAGAATACACTGACACTCTTGCAAGCTAGTCCTTGATTACTTTGATGCTGTATTACTAGCTGTGAAATGATGTGGGCCTATTTATATATATATATATCAGTGTATTTTTAACAAAGCATGATATCACTGTAAGAGGGTGATACTAGTTCATGTCAGCATCTCTACATGTAATGATTAGAATGATAAAAACAAAGGGATCATCTAATAAAAAAAAGGTTAATCTTCTCCCTTTAGTTTAGTGTAACATCAAGAGACAAAAAACAGTACAATAAATGGGTGTTTTCACTGAGGGGGAATTTGTGATAACCTGTTAGATATTTTACAGTAAAGGTAGTAAGTTAGAGCTACATATACAGCCAGCATATCTTGTAAATTCTGAGAATTGTGTAGTCTACATCCGATACTTTACAGTAAAGGTAGTAAGTTAGAGCTACATATACTGCCAGTATATCTTGTAAATTCTGAGAATTGTGTAGTCTACTCTTTTTCCTTGTTAAGTAATCTTAAAGTAACTATTGAATCTTAATTGTTTTTGTACTAAAACCCAAATGAAAATATAGATATTAAAATATGATATTAGTCTGTTGTTGTAGATGGGTAGGTGTAGATGGACTCGAATATTGTTTAAAAGTAATGTGTTTGGTTACAGGACAGTGATAACTTATGGTGGGATGCCTTCACTACCGAATTCTTTGAGGATGATGCCAACTTGACCTTGTCTTTTTATCTAGAAGATGGACCTAAACGATACAGTAAGTATTTCTCCTGACAAAGGAGATCAAACATGGAATTAGGGAAATAAGCTTTGGTAAACTAGAACCCAGCAGGAACAAAACAGAAATACTCTATGCTAAATATTAACTTTCCTTAATGTTAGTTTGCTATAGTGTAGACTGTAAAATCATATATTTTTATGGCATTCAATTTTTGTAGATTTTTTAAAAATCACTATTTCATTGATATTTGATTTTATGGATAAACATACGATTTATATCTATAATTCTATATTGAATTTAACATTTCCTGGACAAGTAAATTTGTTGATTAAGATTACCCATGAAATCACAGAAAATAAATCCCCCTCAAAAATTAATGATTTTATGGTATAAAAACAATACAGATGGACAAATACAATTTCATAATAATGCCGAATTAATCTGATAACTAATACTTTTGATTTTGATAATTTGATGGTCTATAGGCTAGCTAGCTCACAAAACAACACCATTTGTCTGGCATCAATTTTATTTTGTCATATTCAAAGTTTTCATGTCAGTCCTTTTAAACAATCAAGAGATTTACCAATGAAACTTTCAACAACTTGTTTGACATTTGCAGCCATTGGTAGGACACTGATACCTCGTTACTTTAGAAGTATATTTGAGGGTGGAGTGACTGACTTGTACTATATCCTGAAATATCCCAAGGAATCCTTCCATAATACATCTATCACTCTTGACTGCGACCAGGCTACCATGGTTACACATCATGGCAAACCCATGTTCACTAAGGTATGTACAATTGTTACAGGATATAATGTAGGTTTTACATCTACAAATAACCATTGCCTGTTAATGAGCCTGCCTGTATCTACAAACAAATGCAAATTCATTTTTTTTTTTTTGTGAAAAAAAGTTCATCTGTTCAAATCAGAGGTAATGTGTTGCCCCTATAACTCTTAAAAGCAAAGGATGAGGGGGGAGGGCTGGGAACATTCTCATCAAGATATAAAACGAGTTTTAGTCTAGTGAGTGCTTTAAAAGGAGGAAAAAAACCATCTTTAAATGTTTTATTGAAACAGACTTGCACAATCACAGAGCCTGTGAAGTAGACCACTTGGGTATAGATTATTGGTAAATAAGTTATGACCAGAAATCATTACCATTGCATGCTGTGATGACAAACTCGGATTCAGTGTGTGCCCGTGTTTCCCTTCACGAGTACATTCCAAACTAATTCACAATCAATACCAGACAGTCACAAATTATGCAAAGCATGGAGACATTGTTCCAGGGTCCAAGGTAGTGATTAGGGCATGGTAATTAGATTACCGGTGTAAGACAAGGGTGGATAGGGCACATGGTTCAGTGCTAGATCTTAGCCAGAGTAGTCTGTGTGTCCCACACTCGGTGATATTCCAGACCACACAGGAAACCCGTATGATTGTTCCTAAAAGATTTTTAAAAAAGGAGGTAATTGCCAAATTTGAATTAAAGATAATTCGTTTGTTGAAATTCAGCCACATTTCTCTTAGTCATTGTATTTTTTTTGTTTTTTTTGCTTTTTTTTTTTTTAATTCTTTAAGGAAAAAAGAATTCGAAAAAAAAAGAGAGAAAACATTTCCAGATAAGACAAAGAAGATTATATATGATATACAAGTAGAGCTGTACAATACATGTACTTTGTACAGTGTCCTTAAGGAATGATCGATGTTGTTAACACAAGGTACAAGTCGTGCTCAGTCGTTGGAAAGTAAAGATCCACGTCTTTTATAATAAATTGCATTAGCTCAGCATGGATGTCTGTCTTCAATATTTATCTCTTGTCCTCTCAGAAAAGTAGGAAGAAAATCAATGAATAGTGTGAGGCTATTGGACTCATTAGTGTCTGGCGATGTGTGTGTTGAAATTAATAGATATTGATGAAATTTGAATTGCCGATCAGAATCACTGAGAACATTATTCGACAGATATTTGGAGAGATACTGTGTAATGAAGACGTGTGCATTGGTTTAGTTTTACCCCCTTATTAAAGATTTCTGGTGGTTCTGATTTCAAGTTGTAGGTAATCAGGTGCATATTGTTACTCCACTGTCCTTATTTATGTGGCTAAGTATATTCAAAGGTTCAATTAGTTGTTCTTCTTTTCTATAGTCATGGTCATCACTGTGTTTGTTAATGTTCTGCTGGTACTGTTAGTTTTTTTTGCCCATTGGTTCAACATATAAACAGTGAAAATTGAAACTGATGCATATTTTACGAAAGTCATGAAATAGAAGATTTCTCTATAAATATCAATTTCAGAGTGTCAGTTTTCATGGTTTTACAGAACCCCCTACAAATGACAATTTTAACAGTAATAAAAAAATTTACTATTGAAGCATTATTCCTGCTTACAATTATTAATCCACCAGGTTGATACTGACCAAGGCTAGGGTTTTGGACCTCCTTGTGTAAATAACATAAAGGCTAGTAGATATCTACATAGGAAATCACATTAAAACCATATATTGTTGAAGTACAACATGGTAGGTAGCTACACTCATGAAAATTGACTTCTCTAATGAAAAGATTTAATCACAAAATAAAGCTGATCAACGACTCTCAACTCATTTCGCAAATGGTTAGTCTGCTTTGGGCGTTCTAGAATAAGTATTTCAACCCCACATGCTGAGATAACTCAGAGACCTACATTTGACAGGTTTCATACCTTTGAATTCCTGAAGTTAGAAAATATAAGGCAGAACCAAGTGCCTCTGTCACAGCTTGTTTCAGCACTTAGAGCTAAAATTGGACTTTCTGTAGAGAGTGAAACAAGAAGGTGAATGATATGTCTTAAAACTTTGATAATCATACCTTATAATTGTAAGCTTACGTAAACAGGAATATTTTGTTGTCCTGATCAGTCATGTGTACCGACAGATGACAAAACAGCTGGACACAACAGAAATTGGCACTTGTAGTGAATTATATTAACACACTTTGAAAAAAAACCATCAAATTCTCAGGAATGCTCAATGTAGCCCTTGGTTAGTGGACATTTTCAGAATTATACCCCTGTTTCTGATATATCGTTTCTATAGCCCCTTGAATAGTGGACAATTTGCAGCATTGTATCTCTTGTTTCTGAAATGTTTGTGTGTCTATAGCCCCAGCAATAATGGACAATTTTCAGAATGATGCTCCCTGTTTCTGAAAGGTTTGTGTGTCTATAAACCCAGCAATAATGCACAATTTTCAGAATGATGCTCCCTGTTTCTGAAAGGTTTTTTATTCTGTAACCCCTGTGGTAATGCACAATTTTCAAAACTCTACACCTTGATTCTGAGTGTTTGTTTCTAAAGCTCCTGATAAAGTTGTTATTTTTCATAACTTGTGCCCCTTCTTTCTGAAATGTTGGTCTCCTTAGTCCCTTAGTTAGGAAATTAACGGTTTTCAGAAATGTACCCCCAGGTTAGGTGATGGTTGTTTTTTCTATTAGCCCCAGAGATAGTGGACAGTTTTCAGCATTTTACCCCGTTTCTAAAATTTGTTTTTTTTTTTTTTGTAGGTGGTGACTGAAGGACGGCTAATCCTGGAATTCACATTTGATGATCTGATGCGTATACGATCCTGGCATTTTCAAGTGCGGCAACACAGAGAGCTCATCCCACGAAGTGTAATAGCCATGCAGGTTAGAGTATAAACAAAGGATTCTAATCAAAACAAAAAATACTCAAACATGACAGATATTTAGATAATGCCGGTTAAGATACCTGTTCTTCTAAAATGTTTACAATCATTTAACATTTAATGTCTTATGATAGGTTATAGTAAGTCAAACTTCATGACAATTTTTCAAAAATCATTGTTTAACTTTACTGCTTGTAACAAGCAAAAAATCAAAATTTTCTGTAATTTAGATTAAAATATTGACAAAATAAATGTAAGCAAGATAAGATCTTCACTTCTGTATTGTTCATGCAGTAAAGTGTATTGTTTATGCAGTAAAGTGTATTGTTCATGCAGTAAAGTGTATTGTTCATGCAATAAAGTGTATTGTTCATGCAGTAAAGTGTATTGTTCATGCAGTAAAGTGTATTGTTCATGCAATAAAGTGTATTGTTCATGCAGTAAAGTGTATTGTTTATGAAGTAAAGTGTATTGTTCATGCACTAAAGTGTATTGTTCATGCAGTAAAGTGTATTGTTTATGAAGTAGAGTATGTTCACAATTTTGATTTCAGACATTATATATAGGTTATATTCTACCTTGAAATGAACTTGTAGGATATATTCTGTCTTACTATGAAACCTAGGCTTCCTGTCATCAAGACTTATAGAAAAAAACTAACTAGTACACATGCACTCCCTTCATGAATTGAATACAGATTGCTTATTAAGAATGCATGAATTATTCATCACACTTGGATTCTTTAAAGATTTAAAGAGGGAGAACTCTGTCCTAGATTACAGCTTTGATGTGTAAACATTAACATTAAATATTGTGACTCCGCAGTTTTTAAATCTAAGGGAGGTAATCAGTGTTGAAACTTTTGATAACATCTTGTTTATTCTCTGAGTTGAAACATATATCTTGGCAAGACATATTTGCATCTTCTAAAGAGTGGAGTGTAGAACTAGTTTGCTGTCTAATTAAGTCACTATAAAATTTGAAGTCAAATTCAACGTACTATGGACACGCTTGAGAGGTGGGAGGGAGGGGGGATAAAAACATAGTTATATTATTATGGTGTCTGTTTTCTAGTTGTCCTTTTGTCACTCTGGATAATTACATGTACTTTTATATGTTTGCATAATCATTGAATAATTGTACTTAAGATATATTAATTTAGAAAATTTATATTACAGCAAGACCCTGCCATGGTGGAACAGCTGTCTAAAAACATCACAAGACAGGGCCTTACCAACTACACACTTAACTTTCTACGGGTAAGTCAGTCATCTCTGATCCTTGTGGACCCAACAAGTGTGGACTTTAGTAATGATGTATGTAGGCTGTCCAGCATCCCTAACATTCCTAAAAAATCCTAATTTTTTTCAGTTTTGCTAAAATTCCTAAAAAATTAAAAATTCAAAGGGAATTCCTTATAAAAGCCCTAATTTTTCACTTCAGTTCCTACTTTTTTTATATTTCTTACAATTTACTGAAAATGTTTCCATTAAATTCATACTTAAAATGTATTTTAATGTAGTCTGTAGTTCTAATTCAGGGTAGACAATGAAAGGCAGTTGACCAGTGGATCTATGTACCCAGATTGTTATTGGTTGTGACAGAGGTGAGATTCTTAAGGTCACAGCCAACAGCAGCTGGGACACTGAAACGCTGGAAGACACCTTTCCTGCAATTAAGGCATTGTATGTTAGTTTCTATGTTGTCAAATTTGCAAAGGTAAGTCAGTTTAATGCTTTCATATTCCCCATTCTAGTTACAAAATTCCTAAATTTGCACTAAAATTTTGTAATTTTAGCCCTAAATTTAGCCCTAATTTTTTGTCAAGAAGTGCTGGAGTTGTGAAAACTTCAGTTAATAAGAAAAATTGTTTCGGAATAGAGTCTTACCTATGTATTCATTTAATACATATTACACTTAATCAAAATTTTGTGTTTGACATAGTTAAACTTGCATGATAAATTAGAAATCTCATTATTCATTATTCACACCCTTATAAATCTCAGATTTCTTCCGATTGCCTATGAATTTGATGAAACTAGACACAAAATTTACAGTCTTCTATGATTTGATACTATATTTAACAGAAAGTTATGAAAAAATGTTATAATTATTTAACAAACTGACTGACCAATGTTTTGTTTCAGCTGTGTGTAATATTGGAGCCTATGCAGGAGCTGATGTCTAGACACAAGGCTTATGGTTTGAACCCACGCGACTGCCTGAAAACCACTCTGTTTCAAAAGTGGCAGAGAATGGTGGCACCCCCTGGCAAAGGAAAGCCAGGTATGCTTATTGGAAAAGAAATCACAAGAAAAAATGTCTTTTTTAAGTAAAATGTAGTTGTTTGTCGTGCTTCTTTAAGAAAAAATGATTTCCAGTTATGATACAGTGTGTTCTCCAAATTAAATGAAAACATTTATGTTTTGTTGAATAGCTGATAAAGAATTATCTGTGATATCATTGTGTACAGATACTGCGAGACAGCCAGGCAAAAGAAAGAGAAGAAAGGCATCAGCCAGTAGTGCTGGAGGGGGCATGAACAGCACCACACCACCTGCAGGCAAGAAACGCTCACCAGGGCCTCAGGGCATTGGCACATCAGTCCCGGGGGTAACTATTTTATTTAGCCTCCTCTACCTTGTTCAAGAATTGACTACTGCTACATCACATCTCGCTTTAATTGTTAGGAATTTGAGTTTTAATGAAAGCTTGTATTTATGAGAGAAAAAAACATGCATGTCTGGAATCGATCGCCAAATTCTGAATTCTTGAAGGATAGTTTTGATCACACAAAGAAAAAACAATGTGTTTATACTGTGAATAGGACTACCGATTCATGAATTCAAGTAAAATTTTTATTTTAACATGGATACATTCATCCAATAGTATCTATCATCACAACAACATTAAAATACTTATACACATAATTCTACTAATTTAATTTTACAGTAAAATTGGAATACTGATAAATATCATCCAATGGAATTGAATGTTAGAACAACAAAAATGGAAAAAAGATTTATTTATTCAGTAGAATTGAATGTTACAACAAAATTGGAAATGCTGATGTTTTCATTTAAAAGAATTAAATGGTACAAAAAAATGGGGGGAAAAAAGACAAATTCATCTAATAGGATTGCATGTTTCAACAAAATTGGTTTGCTGATATTTTCATCCAATAGAAATTATTGTTACAACAAAATTGGAATACTGATATATTCATCCTATAGAATTTGATGTTACAACAGGATGTGATGGTTGTTGGGGAGCCAACTTTGATGGGGGGCGAGTTTGGTGACGAGGATGAGAGACTGATTACAAGACTTGAGAATTCACAATTTGAACCGAACAACACGGAAGAGGACTCGAAGGAGTTCCAGAACAGTCCCGCCCTACAGCATAGTCCCTGGGGGCAGGACAAGAAACCCCCCACCGCTCCCTCAGGGTCATCAGGGCCACCCAACCCAGAAGATAAGGTTGAGTAACCCAGAGAAGACCATCATCCATCAGAAAGTTTTCCCAGCATACAATTTTCCATCAGACAACATTTTTCCAATTACTTCATTATGAGACATGATCATGACCTTTGACCTCATCGGTTTTCACATCTTCATTTTTGTGATTGATAATCTCCGAGCTTGTCATTATCTTTCACTTTATAATAAATGACCTTTGACCCTTAATTTTGGTGGTCATTTGGTACATTTTTTTCTGGGTGATGTGAATGTCACTTGATTTATGGATGGACTCGTCATATTTGAGTTTTTTGAAACTGGTGGTAAGGAAGAAAGTCTTTATTGTGATTATGATCATGTGATCAAATACAATTTATTTTAGATCGATGCAGTTTCACCTTTTCCTAAGATATGTGAGCCCCTACACAGAAATATTCGTTAGAAAGTTATTGATCTGCAGTTACATCTAGGAAAATTCAAATCCAAATCATGTTGCCAAAATTTCATTGTTAAAAAATGTTTTCGTAGCATTAAGAATTCAAGAAAAGAAGTTGTTTCAAAAGATGAGAAACATCCTGAAAAGGATTTTACTAAGGGAAACGATCAATTTTCAGATGTAATAGTTAAAAGTTCCAAAGGATGTAGCCATCCAGAAAATAGCAGTTAAAACAAAGATGTACATATCATGTTGTTTAAATTATCGTTAACAACTGAAAAACTTCATTCTCAACTACTGTTTGAAGATGCGACCAAACTTCTGAGTGTTACTGTTATGATTCCAACTTATATCTGTTTCAATTTTATAAATATTGCCACATTTAAAAGCTACAAGATAAAGGCAATTTATGAAAAAAAAAACCCATCAGAGCTTACAAAGTAGTCTGTCACAATAAACATCCTTTCTGCCTCCCCAGGACTCCAAACTTGGTTTAATTTGATAATTTGGAAAGAAATAACGGACAGAAAACCCAAGTATGGGTAAACATTACAAAATGTATGTATTGTTGTATGAAATAAGAAGCATGTATTTAGAATTTATAGGGTACGTCATAATTGAAAAGATTAAACATGTCTTTTGTTGTCCAATAAATATGTTTGATAGAATCACTCTGTGTAAATAACACTGTCTCTTCACCACAGGAATTTCCTTAAACGTAGTGTAAGGTGTAAGTAAAATGTATGTCAATTTCATGTAGAGTGCGGGTATTGGATTGAGTGAGAAATATAAAATCAGGATTTAAAAAGTGCTTACTTTATGAAAAATCAAACCACTTTTTTCTAAATAAGGATTTAAAATTTTTTTTACCCAGAAATTAACTTTGTAGTTAAATAATTATTGATAAAGCTTTACATTGAGTATTTGCTTTGTTGCAAGTTGGAAAAAAAAAGTAATTACAGGTTAATCTAATGTAAAGGAAAAAAATACTCTGTCAAAAACTGCTCATTTGAATGTTCAGATTTGAGACGCCACACTTTATAAGATATGTTAGTCTGTGTACATGATCTTTCCTGATTAAGTTACCCTCTCGAAAGTTTTTACCATTATTTTTAATGCTGTCATTCGGAACATTTTCGTGCGACATCTTTTCAATGTTATTTTGTATTGGTATATACATAAATTATCTATACATTTAATTGTCCCTTTTTCTTTTATAAATATACGTTTTCTATTGTAACATTTTAAATTTACATCTTCTTTCTCCTTTCTATTTCTAATATCATCAATTAATGATGTTGAATACCAGATTTGTATTTTTTTTCTTCTTTCTTTTTTTTTGTTTTTTTGTTTTTTTTTTTGTGAAAGATGATTGATCTGTAGTATTGTTGAAGATTGATGTGTAATGCCATTATATTTTGAATGGTTGTTTAGCAGAATATTTCACTGCCAGAGCTAGTATTGGAGTGTGAAGGTTTATGTTGGATTTTTTTTTTAAACAAAATACAAAAAAGTTCAATGGAGTATGTCATAACATATATTACATCATAGACTGGCAATACTAGACAAGATCCACTTAAAGATAAAACTGAGTGTGACTTAATTCTGGTAAACAAAGCCGACACTATCATTATCATAATACAATTATTTTTATTTTCACTTATCATTCTATAAAGTGTTATATTAAATTTACAAGGTTCCTCAAAAAGACAGCTGTTCCATGTTTAATCATGTGTTATCACTTCCTCTGTGATTAAGTAATTTTGAAAATATCCCATTTTCACATTATTTACCATTTTGCCATGGAGTTAATGAAACTTGATACAAGTAGTAGAATATTTTCTTTAAATAAACAACTCAAAAATTATTCCTCTGGATGTAAATATCTGTTTTGTAGCAAATCATTAACATTGGTAATTTGAATAAGAAAATTAGATGTTTGCGGTTTTGAAGAGTTTTTCAGTAAAATTCCAAGAAAAAGTGCATAATTTTTAGTAAGCATTTGCCTCTTGTGAAATGAATTATTCAACAAAAGAAATATTGATTCCAGTTACACAGATCTAGTTACATACATGCCTTTTGAAATCCAATAGTAATGTTTTCAGAGGGCCTTGCAGCATTAAGTATTCCACATGTTGATCTGAATCCATGCACAGCTACACTTTCCTTGGGTATGATATAGCCTTTTTGAGAATGTTCAATTTTCAAAATTTAGAGCGAAGTGATTTGGAATGAGATTTAACATGGATCTAGGTGAAGGTTTACATGTCGATCTAGAGGTATTACATTTCCATGGAAATAGATTTGAAAATAACTCGTGTAAGTTTATATATTTAGTGGAAAAAGTTTTAAGTACATGTAACAGTTGTCTCTGTTGATGTGTATTTTTATGAACAAAATGTGAACAATATTTTATTGAAGATTTGATTTCTGTGGACTTATTTAGATTAATAGATTTTACTTTTTCTTTTGTTTCCTTAGTGTGTAACATGACTATTACCTAAAATGTGTTGTCATGGTTGGTAAATTTGTAGGTGAAATTTAAATCCTCATAAAGGGTTGACTATCTGAAATTTATATACATTTTAATTCTAAATGATTATGTTTAGTCATTATATATAGATATAGATATATTATCAATAGTATTTGATTAATACTATTTTTTCTGTTCAGATATGAAGCTTTGAAAGATCGTGACCAGTCATGAAACTATTTATATTGTACCATATTTGTGTTTGTCTTTTTCGGGGGAACTGGAATCAGGACAGCAAGAAATAAAGAGGATATATTTCAGAATTTTTGGCTTTTATTTTATTATTTTGTTTATTCATAGACCTCCCTTCTTTCTTCCCCAACCCACCCACCCTCCCACACACAATGATCATGTATTGTAAAATAATGGGAGGCAACTCTCACAACATAACTTTTACTTGTAAATTTTTTAAAGAATTTTGATTAAGTTGAGTACTGTAGTTCATGTATATTGAATTCCCCTTAAATAAGTGTTGTCATGACAATATTGGTCTTTTACTATGTAAAACAGATTTCAAAATTGTGAATTTGATCAACAGATGTAAAATGTTATATCAGTTTTTTTAAGTATACCAAAAAGAAGTATTATCCATCACATTTATTTACACGTGAAATATAATCAGTTAAAAATGTTGTATCTATATGTAAAACTTATGATTTTTAGCCCTCCATCATCAGGTGGTTGGCTGTTAAAATTTCCCTTTTTCAAGTCCATTGGTCTGTCCTTCAACAATCTTTGCTATTTGTTGAGTTCTGTAAATAGGTTGTTATCCTTGATCCCTAGTTGTGCATTGTCCCATTTTGGGACCAATCCAGACACGGAAATGGCAAAGGAGCAGAATTTGACGGTTTATAGGTTGTTATTACTATTTCTGAAGGAGTACTGGGCAGATCATTCATAAATTTCATTTGTTGGTCCATCTTGGTCATTTTATATTTTGACAGTTGCAGTATGTTTCTAGAAAGGTGTTCTATGAATAATTCTCAGATTTTATACATAAGTTCACCTTAGATCCAAGGGTAGAGCCAACGCCGTTACTTTAAAGGAGGTTTGGTACGTTCAATTTATCCCTTGTCCGGATACCACCCGGTATGCAGGGCGATTGAGGGATAGTGGAAACTAAGTGCAAGAATCAATCGCAACGAGACCAGGGATAATAAGATTTCGGGTTTATTAACTAACGTCGACCGGTTTCGCCCGAACAGTGGGCTTCTTCAGGACGAAGTTATTACAAATTTTTTACCCTAAGGTACTAAAATTCTGGAGACGAATACTATTGTGACGTCACACAATGAGCGTCACGTGATACAACCATAACGGTTATATATACTCGCTGAATGCCTAAAAATAGAATTGCGACTAAAAATAGAATTACAACTAAAAATAGAATTGTGACTAAAATTAGAATTAATTCTAACATGGATTTCGACCATGTAAGACAGGCGGCTAGCTTGGATTTCGACTATGTAAGATCATTAAAGCGCTTTCCTGGTTCTCACTGGTCATTTGGTTTTTGGACTGATCAGAAAAGCGAAAATGACTTGACACATGACCATCTTGGATTATGACAAAGAACGTTTGTTATTACTTCAGAAGTACGCAACTTCTCCTTGGTCCCTCGTTGTGACCTTATTTGAAGAACTAAATGACGGACAGTCAACCATCTTGAATTTTACAGTTAAATTGTTAATGTGAATTTTCAAATATTAAAAAGAGAAAACACATATATAAATAGGTGTAGTAACGGCGATTTAGACCACAGAATCCTAAAGGATGTCCGAGGAAGAGAGGAAGATGACTTTTCTTGTAAAATTCCCTGCGAAATGAAGTCACTTATTAGAACAATGAAACAAACATATTCAATGGTTTTAATAGTCGACCATCTTGAAAATTTGAGGAAAATCATTTTCGAAACGAATTCGCTGAAATGGAAATTCTGGACCGACAAAACACCATAAAATGTCGGAAAATTAAACGATGGAACAAATCTCGTATCATCACCGGTACTATGTTTTTACTTCCAGTAAACGAAATATTCTGAAAATCTTCAATTTTAAATTTCAAATGTTGTACATCCTCGATACTGCGGGGTTATAATCACTTCCACTCTCTGCACTCCTGGAATATCTGACAACTGATTAGGATATTGTTTGTGTCACTAAGACTTACCTTGATATGAATTGTACTGAAAGGATCATGGATGTCCGGGAGGAGGAGGCTAGTTTACACATCACGTTTATTGTGAAGCTGTCGTATAGCCGGCTTAAATTTCGAGTGAGTGAAGTTACTTTCCAAGGAAAATTTTGTTTTATGCTCTAAACAGACCTCCGAATATTACAAAATCCTTTTGGAATCACTTTCGACTTTCTCAAGAATCCACTTTTCGTGAAAATCCATATAGAGTGATTATTGTTGACATAACTGTTGATCTCCTAACTGGAAACACGGATGCAGTTTCAAATCTCATTTATCCGCTCGTTTCACGTGACTAACGTAATAGATCGCCCGACATGCATGGGACGCACGAGCGCCACCTTGCTTGACCCAACCAACTCTCAGACACGTGCATTTCTAAATTGCCTGGCGTACTTGGCATTCGTGAATTTATAAATACCAATCGGGTTTCCAGCCGGGTCACTCAACTACCCGTCATATTATAGAAAATAAGCATACATTATGCGAAAATCTTGAAAAAAAAATGCAGGCGATATGTTAAGTGATATTTCCAAAACATTCGATTGTGTAACCACATGGGGCTGAACGTCAGTAACAGAATGATACAAGTCTTCGTGAAAAATAGTAAATCTTCCGTTAAATATACAAGTGTATGTGTTCCACACGACTCGCTGTTAGGTCCCTTATTCTATCAATATATCGATACACACACATATATATAGATGATATTGCCGATAGTCTTGATAGTCTCTGCATACTTATTTGGCCATCGAAATTAAAATTAATAACGATCTGGCTACAATTCAGAACTGGTCAGGAAGTGTCTTATCAAATTTAATCCCTTAAAATCGAAATCTTTACTTGCTTCAATCATTGAACGTAATTATGCCATAGATATGGAATTTAAAAATGCGCGTGTGGGTTTTGTAGTTCATCTTAGACATCTAGAAAGTGTATGTAATGATACGCTCAAACAGGTAAACTCCTCAGTAAATTAAAACCTATATGTTGAATAGACAAACTAGTCAAAATCGACATACTTACTTTATCATGGTAGTGTGAAGTTTAGAAAGTGTCTCCGTGACGCAAACTGGGAAATCTTCAAGTTTACCACCACATACAAGTAGAGATTCTCTTTATATCTCCAAAGTGTTTTAGAACAAAAGTAAGTTATTCTACAAAGTAAGTGATAAACCCACACTCATAATTACATGTATCGGCCCTCTTTAGTACTTAAACATGTCGTCTCGTCTTGTCAATATTTATTTTGTCCAGATTTATGGGGAAGAACTTAAGTTGGATAACAATCGTTTTGTATATTTGTTACAAACAGAATGAGTTTAAACTTCAAAACCATTTACAGCTTAGAAGATAATGACTTAAAGAGCAACAAAATCATCGGGTAACTTTGACAATAGGTCTTTTATATTCTGGTGAAATATACATAAAAAATATCTTTTCAAATGGGGAGTCGAGGAAATGGAAAACTTGTAACCAACCGACCGACACGTATAAAAATTCATCTTGTGTGGATCGGGTGTACATGACAATTTGTTTAAAATTCAATGGGTGGAACTTCAAAACGGAAATAATAT